CAGAGGGTTTATTTCAGGAGGCCTCAATTTTCTCATCTATGAAACAGGCTGGCCTGGAATGATCAGGAAGGTCCTTTAAAGGGCAACTCCTTGTGACTGTGTGCCCTCTTAGAGCCAAGGGAAAGTATCTCCCATAAATATTGACAAATTGTAATATTTCAAAATTCAGATTATTTGGTATTCCTGACTTGTATCTTTTTTCATGTAAGAGGCTGAAAAGCCCATATTTACTTGCATTGCAGAACATTGCCTTTTTCTGAGCAGAGTGCAAGGCCCATGGATGATGCCCCCAATAAATAATTGCTGGGTTTGTTTCAGCTGTGAGAGACATTAGTGTGTTAAGGGATTGCTCTGGGCCTTGCTCTGATCCTCTGCTATGTTAGAGAAGCAGTTGAAACAACTCTTGAATAGGCAATCACAGAAACCATTACATTTACTCAATGAACATTTATTGAGGTCCTGCCATTTGTCTTACAAGCATGGTATTAAGCCTTGGGAATACAAAGTTAACAAAAATAGGTACCCCAACATCAACCTCTGTAATAGTAAAGAAAACAAGCATTATGGTATGAATAGATATTTTGCCAGTTACAGATAGAAAAGCGTGAAGTGATTTATACTCTAAATCATTGTTAAAAGTAAAATTGTTTTTTAAAAATGTCCAAATCAGTAAAAGTACACATTTGAAAAAATTAGAAGATAATAAGACTTACCCCAACTTCCCCTCTCCCGACTGAAGTTTCTTTCTCTTTAAAAAAATTTTTAAAATATATTGATTAGTGAGGGCGGTAGGTGGGCGGGGGAGAGAAACATCGATTTGTTGTTCTACTTGTTTATGTGTTCATTGGTTCATTCTTGTATGTGCCCCAACTGGGGATTGAACCTGCAACCTTGGCTTATCGGTGCCAGGGCTAAGGTTCTTTCTTTTGAAGTAGATTGACAAATTCTCATCTGGGTTTCTTCACATTTTCATTATTTAAGCCTGAAGAACCAGGGACATTTCAGCTGGTCTAAACAAGCATGGAGAGAGGCAGGGTGATCTGCAATCTCTAAAGACACTGCAATTATTTAGGAATTTATAGATAAAAGCCATTTTTAGTCATTTTTACTGAGGTAGCAAAGACCTCATTTCATGCACCCTTATGACTTCATAGGGTAAAAACTCATTTTTAAAAAGATTTTATTTATTTAGTTTTAGAGAAAGGAAGGGAAGGAGAAAGAGTGAGAAATATCAATGTGTGGTTGCCTCTCCATGCGCCCCCGCTACTGGGAACTTAGCCTGCAACCCAGGCATGTACTCTGACTGGGAATTGAACTGGCGACCCTTTGGTTTGCAGCCCGGCAATCCAGTGAGCCACACCAGCCAGGGCAAAGAACTCTCATTTCAAAAATTTTATTTTGGGGTAATAAAGTGACTCAGGTTGGTAAGGATCTGCTAAATTTGCTAGTTTGAGCAGACCAGTCAGTAGTGAAAAGTTTTGACTTATTTGATAGATATCCTATTACACTGAATGGTGAAAATCCTCATTATGTTATACCAGTGGATTTAACCATTTTTATAAAGTCTTCTGTATTTATAATAATTATTGCTATTGTGTATTGAACATTATCCGATAGGTATTTTAAGTCATCTTATTTAATCTTTATGATTTTACTGTGAGACAGATATTGTTATTCCCCCTTTTAGCTATGAAGACCACGTAACTGTTTCTATGCTTCAGGATTTGAATTCGGGTCATTCTCACTCTAGAGCCTAAGTCCAATTTTCCACTGTTCCCTATGCTCCCAATGTATTACAGCTAATGTCTAGGCCTGTGCTTTTTTCTTTTTTCACTACATTTATTGGGACATTGATTTATAACATTTTATAAATTTCAGGTGTACAATTCTATTTAATACATCATTTGTATCTTGTGTTGTGTGCTCACCACCCAAAATCCAGTCTCCTTCTATCACCATAAATTTGACCCCCTGTGCTCTTTTCATTCTCCCCTGCCCCCTTCTGTTGTCTGTGTCTGTGAGTTTGTCTGTCTTGTTCATTCATTTGTTGCTTTCTGTTTTAATATACCACATATAAATGAAATAACATAGGCATGTGCTTTTTAGTGCGTGGGCTAAATGACAGATGAGGTAGATGAGCGTTGTGCCTGTGCGGGCAACGTGAGGGAGGAGAGACTTTGGAGGAGAGCATTTTAGAAGCTGAAGTGAAGATGAGAAAATGATAGGCAGGAGGAGAATTGGCTATCATTTTTGGCTATTGTTGTTTCCTGGACCCCCATGGATATCAAAATCTCTGATTGCTCAAGTCCCTTATATAAAGTGGCATAGAACAACACATACAGTTTGCCCTTCACATCTGCACATTCCCAACTGTGGATCAAAAATACTGCTTTCAATCCTCAACTGGTTGAATCCACAGATGTGAAACCTGGGAATATGGAGGGCGTAATGTAAATTTACTGAAAAAAATATGCATATAATGGCCCTGCACAGGTCAGATCCATATTGTTCAGCTGTAATGTAGTTGGGATACTTTTCTTGTGTTTGCCTCTTGGTTTAAGGTTTTAGGTGTACCCAGCTCACAAAGAAATTTTTAGATTTCCAACGTCACTTGAGCAAAGAAACAGTGATGTACGAACAGCAAAATAATTTACACAACTTGGGTTTTTCATTAAAGACCCTGGAAGAAACTTGCAGAGTGCTTGTTAACTTTTTCAAGAATACATTGCTGTAGTCATAAAAAGCCCAATAAAAAATTATTCATCAAAAAGCAGAAAGTGAACCAAAAATACTCTCCCACTCAAGTTTAAGAACATGGTGTTTATCTTCTGGAAAAACAGTATGCATTTCCAGGTAAGAAAGAGGATAAAGAAGTCCCAAGGAAGGGCATCTTAAAACACCGCTGGGATGGAGAGTTGTCATTGAAATAGGCTTTCTTTTGAATGCTCAGAGCATCTCCAATTAAGCCTATGAAATCATGGATAACACCAGAAAAGAATTATTCATACATGTCCTCATGAATTTGAATGAGTGATACTTTTTTACTGTCCTAAAAATTTCTGGACAAATACACCCCTTCCCCCAAGCATTACCACCTTAAATAGTAGGACAAAAATGTTAAAAACTGTTGTTCCCCAGAAGATAAAAATAGAAAATAGACATTTCTGAAAAAATATAACTTACATGAATTTATGATTAAAAAAAAATAATGGGGCATTATAGCAAGGAGGAGGTTTTGGAGCCTATCCGTAATCTTCTGAGGTCGATGTCAGGGGCGAAAGCTGTGCCCTTCCACAACAGACACTTGCCTCTGCTGTTAGGTCCAGTACTGGCCTGGGTGGCTCAGGGTCTGCTCAACTCTGTTGCTCACATGCTCTGGTGTTCCTCTTTGGTGCTATCCTGCCAAGCTTGTCTAAGATATTAGGACTTTGCTTTCCATTTTAGAAAAGTATTGGTTAATAGAAACCACTGCCTATTCAACTTTGATTCAGTAGATGTTTATTAAACAGGTTTACATGCTTATTAGACTTAAAATGTCTTATATTAGGTTCATAATTTTGATGTGTGTATGTATATTTTATTTTTTGGATTAGATGCTGTTTTAGATGCTGGCCTTGAGCCAGACCATTTTGCTGAGCAAACTTTCACAACCCTTCTCCCAGTAGAGGAGTATTACACGTAAATGCTGGGTGTTAAACGGCATTACAGGTGTCTGGTAACTTTCTGCAGTTACCCCTTCAGTTAACAGAACCAGTGGGGCTGTCCCACTGGGGCAACTGTGGTTGTGGTGATTTTTTGGTCTTTCTTTTGAAGCGGTTGCTTTAGGAAATGTGTTTTAAGGGACAGACCAGTCTTAAGGGGTAATTCTATCAGGTCACCCATTTGAATGGCAAGAAAAGGCTCAATTTATATAAAATATTCAGTGAAGCTGTTGGAAAATTTTAAGTAATGAACCAAGCATTTGGCTAGATTCTGGAGCTTTTTCTTAAATAAACCTGGAAGCTGGAGTCAAAGGATGTTTGGTTTTCTTAGTGTTCTGCTTCTCAAATTTTTTTATTAAAGTTTCTGAGTACCACAAGAAAGTAAATTTATATTCTTATGAAGGCAGGGGTCATAGGTCAGATTATGCTACCAGAAGCTCATGTTTGTTGAAGTTTCTAGAATGCTTCATCTTAAAAATCCATTTGAATATTCCATTCTGTTCTGTAATGTATACTTAAAGAAATTAAGGTAAAATCGATGTATGGTGAAATGCACAGATCTTCAGTATAGTGTTTGGTGAACACTGACAAAAGCACATGCTGGTATAATCCACACACCTATCAAGAATATACCTACAGCATAAGCTGGGTGGCTCAGTTGGTTGGAGCATCATCCCCTACACTAAAAGGTTGTGGGCTCGATTCGTGGTTGGGACACGTACGGGAGGCAACTATTTTAATGTTTGTCTCTCACATCGATGTTTTTCTCTCTCTCCCTTACTCTCTGAAGTCAATAAATATATGCTCGAGTGAGTATTAAAAAACAAAAAATATATATATACCTACAGTTTTTAACATAGAAGGCGTATTTGAAATTATTTTCATAATGAAAATCGATATTTCCTTTTTTTTTTACACTTGGTATTTACTTTGTAAATTTTACAGCTTATTATACCACTCTGTGTATTCCCTAAGGATGGTGGCAGTGGACATGGCATGATTATCCCATTTTGATACGTGTGGGTTTCATTGAGAGAGCTGTACAAAATGACTAGATATCATAGTGGACTTTCTTTAGCTAAAGCCTAACATTAGCTGGAGAAGTTGATTATTACCCACTGTTCATCTAAGCATCAAAAAACTTCTACTTCTCTAATTGCAAATAGTTTATCAAGTCTAGTAATAGGTCTATGATCAGATGTTAAAGATTTGTTCATATTCATTGTTTTTACTGGTAATCTATTTTGTGGTAAGGCTTTACTCACATGTATGTGATCTACTGTTTAACATCCTTTTCAGGATAACATTTGACACTCTGCTTTGCAGTAGTCATCCTCCAGGAATCCCACCAATGACGCAGTCCCAGCTTTTAATTCCCATTTCTTGAATTCTCTTGTGAACATTGCCTGCAACTGTAAGTGCTCTACCTCTGTTTTCCTCCAGGTTTTTTCAGAGAGCAGATATTAAGGCTTCCTTTCCTTAGAGACCAAGCTTTAGTTATTGTATCTGTGCAATGCACAATACAGTAGGCTCACTAGATTGATTTCAACTGTAGATATTAGTGTTAGGTAATAGAGAAGATACAAAGTTGACTGAGGGATAGAACCATTGCTTGTGAGTATTTACTAATATCAGGGGAGCTGATGATGGTAATTAATACTTATTAAGAGCACTTTATGTGCTAGGTACTATTCTAAGCTTGTTGCATATGTTATCTGATTTTATATTCATAATAATCATTTGAGTTAATGATTTGCCTGTTTTATACATTAAGAAGCTGTGTCTTGGTCAGGTTTCCTAGAAGTAGAGCCTGAGATGCAAATTCTTGTGCAAGTGATTTATTGAGGGAGGGCTCAGGGGGAACCTGAGAGCAAGGGAGGGAAGCCGGACGGGAGAGGACACTGGTCCCTGGACTAGCAATGTCAGCATCACCTGTTGGAAATACATGTTCTCAGGTCTGAGGTGAGCTGGGCAGCTGTCTGTGGTTTAACTAGTCTTCCAGGCGATTCTGATTAATACTAAAATTTGAAAACCACTTAGGCAGAGGAAGACCGACATACAGGGAAGCTAAGTAACTAGCTCTAAGTCCCACGGCCAGTAGTGAGATTTGACGCGGGCAGTCTGTTTCCAGAGTCAGTCTTCATAACCGTTAGCTACGCTGTCTCATGCGGTCAGAACATAATAGCAATAACAGTACAGACATAAATGAACAGGAGACAGTTTGGAGGAGACAGTTTCTTCTGACTGAAGGAAACAGAAGCCCTCATGAAAAGGGTGTCATTTAATTCTGCCTTGAAGTAGGATGAGATCTGGACATGCACAAATTTATGTGAGAGGCTTTCTAGGTAGAAGAGACTAGCCTGAGAAAAGGCGCAGTGGCATGCAAGTTTGGGTTTGTGTGTAGCAAGTTAGGTATTCTGTTTGGCCAAGTTTTGGCTTTTTAAGGAGTTCTGGGAGAATAGTCATTCAATATTGGTTTGAGGCCAGTTCATAGATATCCTTGGGTGCCAGGCAAGTTAAGATTTTTAATCTGGGAAGTGATGTAGTCAAAACTTTAGATATATATGACAGCAGATATGTAGGGTGAATTTTAGGAGGATAAAGTGGGATTAAGCAGAAGGGAGACAAGTCTGGAAGCAGTCAGTGTACACCAGTGATTTTCAACCTTTTTCATCTCAAGGCACACACAAACTAATTACTAAAATTCTGCAGCGCGCACACACACACACACAAAATAAATAAATAGATAAATATATATATATATATTCGCCGATAAGACAAAAAGGTAAAATTTTGTTGCACTCACACTGATGGCTGTTGTTCTGTTGGCTGTTGTAATTTTTTAATTTGACAATCTAAGGGAAAAGAGATCAGTGTCCTTGACTAAATAGTCAGGTATGGCATGTTTTAAAAATTCTTGCGGCACACTGGTTGAAAATTGCTGGTGTACACAGTAAATTAGGACCTGCTCTGGGCAGTGGCAGTTAAACTGGAAAAGAATAAACTTAGAAAAGATACTACAGAAGAAGCAGTCCTGGGAGTTGGGAGAATAAGTGATAGCAAGCCATTGAACATTGAAGAAGCTGCCTGCCTAAGAGGATGCTGGTCCTTTTCCACAAGGATGGCACTTCCATGGTGGAAGTTATTTGAGAGTGTGCAGAGGAAGTACAGTTCAGGTTCAGGAGTGTGGAATTTGAGAAGGGAATCTTATGTGGAGGTGTAAAGCAAGTAGTTGGAAATGCTGACCTAAAACTCAGGGATGGATGAGACTTCATTGTAGAGGCAATTATTGAAAGTCACAGGTTGATGATGTGAAAGATGGCAATAATAGGAGACGGTCAGTGTCAGAATTAAAATTCTTGGTCTCTTCTTGTTCAGTTTTTAAAATACATTGACTGACATGGTCTCCAAATGAATAACGAAGTTATATTTTGCGTATTAAATCAAGAGAAAGTTAAACCTTTTCCTGCTTTCTAACTCAGGGGATATAATGAGACAAATAAAAAAAAAAGTCCTTAAAAATCCTTTTAGTCAAAAGCAAACATGTCATTTTAGCAATTTCTAGGTAGTGTCTTGACTTCTTCTTCTTCTTCTTTTTTTTTAAATCTCCTATCTTTTTTCCCCAAAAAAGATAATTAAGTACTTTGGCTTAAAAATCTTTCCCTGTTCATCTTACTATAACTTAGATTTTTAAATAGAAGAAAAGGCAGAAGTATCAGTCAAGGTACTAAGTAAAGTCAACTAGGAGTTAAGAGTAAAATTTCTTTGTGGTAAGCAATGAGACTCAGATTTAGTTGTATTTACATTTGTTGCAGTTTAGGTATGTATAATCAGTTGCTTCAGAAAGAGATGTTATAGATACTCTGAATAATTGGGCTACAGAATGTCATCTGCTTTTGCTTATTTATTTATTTATTTTAAATTCTGAGTCTAACTCTTTGTGATATCAGAAAACACTTCCACTTGGTGTCACTGCTTGTTATCTAAAAGATTTCCTAGGCCACAGGTTTCAGGGATTTATACTTGGCCAAGGAGTGAAAGGGAATTTATTGCAGGATAAGTCAAATGGACATTCTGTTCTTCAAAAAACAATACTGGGGAAAGTGAGACATCCCTGGCCTCTAACCATTAAATGCTGGAGTCATTCCCCTAAACATGACAGTTAGAATGTCCCCGAGGGGGCACAACCACCTCTGGTTGAGAACCACTTTGCTAACTAATCTAAGTGGATCAAAAAATAATGTGAAAGTCTGAATAGTCTGTGTTTAGATGTTGTAAAGTGTGGAATAAATGAAATTTTGCCATTTTAGAAAGCAATTCCTTGCACATTATTCCTTGGGACAGATTGAGCTGGTTATGTAGAATCCATTCCAAATCAAAGTAGAGTTTGATACAACCACTAGTGGGGAACACTTTGTCAATGTCTAGAAAAAACTGAGAAATATAGCAACTCTATATGTACCTATACCCTAAAGAAACTGTCAAACATTTGCACAAGGGTACAGGTACAAGGACATTCATGGCAGAATTGATTTGTAAGAGGGAAAGCTGGAAACACATCATTCACCACCAGTAAGGAAACAGACACATTATGGTGTATTTAACCCCACTGAAGAAATGTCAACCAGTTAAAATGAGTGAAGTGAATTAGTATGGATCAGTCTCGAAAAAAAAAAAAAAAAGCTGAACAAAAACTAAATCATAGAATATACTTTTTATCTTCCTTGTGCGTTTTAGAAAACACCCAAAACAGTTGTTTAGCCCTAATCGAGACGGTGTCCACTTCTGAGGAGAAAGGGATGAGAAGAATGGGACCAGGGAGAGGAAGTGGGAGGATGTCCGTTTTATTTACATTGTCATGTTAATTTTTTTAAAAAGGTCTGAAGTATATGCAGATGACTCCTGAGCAATGCTGGGGATAGGAGTCCTTCCCCCTTCACACAGTTGAAGATTTGCATATAACTTTTGACTTAACTACATAATAGGCTACTGTTGACTGAAAGCCTTACTGATAACATAATTGATTAACTCATGTTTTATATGTTACATGTATAACTTAATTTTACAATAAAGTAAGCTAGAGAAAAGAAAATGTTATTAAGAAAATCATAAGGAAGAGAAAATGGCGTTGACAGTATTTGTTGAAAAAAAATCCACCTACAAGTGGACTCGTGCAGTTCAAACCCTGGGTGTCCAAGGATCAACTGTACTACAAAAATGTTAAATTTCAGTTGTAGGGTCATGCATTTGTTATTATCATTCTTTGAATTTGCTTTTTTTAAAATGAAATATAAAGGAACTACTGTAATACTTGACAGTATAAATTGATATTCTTCAGTTCATTCTTGGAAATACTGAATTGTAGTTTTTCCTGAAATATTTTTTAGCTACAGATTTAATTTTCAGTCATGTGCTTGAAGGAAGTGATTGTGCTTATGCTATTTCCTAGTCATATTTCCATGCACTAAGTCATGATTTTGTGATTCATTTTTGCACAAATGTGTAGATCTGGATTCTCACACGTTGAACTAAACGCAGCTGTGTTTATTTCAATGAGATTACGTTAAAATAAACACACATGTGATCCCTTATGAGCGTGAACCTGTAAAACACTTGTTGATTTGGGTCTGAAATTGTGTGTTCAAATAAACACACTTGTTTTAAGGGAAGTTTTGCTTTTTATTCAAATGTTCATGCCTTGAACATGTGTTTTATAGTAGGCAGATGTGGACATGAGTATCTTAAAAGAATAACAGTTCTTTAGAGTTTGTCATTCCTTTTAGACAAATGCAGGGTTTAGTTAATGGGCTGATTTTCAAAATTTGTTTGTAGTTGTCCTGTGTAATGAAAAATCTTTGAATATCACAATTTATATAATTCATTTATTCTTGAGAGGTTAACTGACTGGAATAGAATGTTTAACAAATTAAATAACATGTAATATACATATTCTAGTAGCATTAATGATAAAAAGTAGAGGATCATTTTTTTAATTTTGGAAACTACCTCTTGTTTAACCAGACTTTATGTCTGCATTTTTACATTTCAAATTTTAGAATGAAAATAGAGAAAAGTTCCAAACCAGTAAGAGTACTATTCACATTTATAGGTATTTCTGCTGAAAGGACTGTAGGTAACCTGAATAGAAATGAGATAACATGCCTTCCACAAAATATTTTAATCACATAGAATATAATTTACACAGTACCAGTATTTGAAGTTATCTTCCCCCTCTCCCCGCAAATGAGACAATAGGAGCCAGAGGTCTTTTTTTTTCCTTCAAAATACGAGGGAAAGTTTTATGTGTGGTGGTGTGCAGACAAACACATTTATTTTTCAATCTGAAAGTCTGAAAGTCATTTTATTGTTTACGGTGAGGTTCTTTGGTTTCAAAGTCTTGTCCACCCTACAGCC